CACATAAAGCACAGGCTAACATTAGCACAGCTGGTGCTTAGAACATTATCATATGTTTCTGTAAGTTATGGATGCAGCATTGTCTTCCCTCTTTGCTGCCTTCTAATCCCTCTTCCCTGACCCCTCCTGCATTTATGAAACTCAAGCTGTTTCAGAAGAAACACCAGTATTCTTACGTCCCATGTGATTTTTTTTTAATTCAGTCATAAGATTGTCCTCCAGAGTTGGTACAGAATATCCTGTTCCAGATCTCAGGAATATATTCATTTCTATTGTAGTGACATCTTAAAAGTCCCCAATCTCCTGATTTTATACAAGATAGAAATGACTGCTTGCCCTTTTTCTTTTCTTCTTTTTTCTTTTTTTCTTTTTTTTCTTTTTTTCTTTTTTTCCCCCTTTTTTTCTTTTGTGGACTGCATTATGTGATTCTATCTCTCAATTTATTATTCATTATTAAAAGTATTAATGGTATCCTTAAGAATTATTATTATTATTATTATTATTATTGTCATGCTTAGAAAGCCTAGTCATGTATGAAGGGTCTAGTGCCCTAGAAATCAATAGAAAAAGTAGCACAGGCAACAGCCTATTGCCATAGAAAACTCAGAGAGCCACAGACAAAACAGAGTACATGGGTAACTCAGACAAATGCAATTGAAATGAGAAGACAGCAGTAAGATAAAGGTAGCAACAGTAGAGAAATGGAAGATGACTGTTTTTTCATGGACATTACTACAAGATGGTGTTAAACTGATCTTTGAAGAAAAATGAGACACAATTTGGGAGACAGAGCATCTTTGCTGGAGTAAAACTGTTTAGAGTTTTCCCAAAGTATTATTTGAGTGGAAAGTTCTCAAGGTAACATCCATTAATGTAAAACCAGTCCATTACTGTGGTTCCTTTTTTACTGCATCCAGTTTAAGTTCTGACCTCTCTATTGGGAAGAGATAGAAAATACTGGTTTGACTTTTTGTTTTCCTCAAAATCCAAAGGCAGCAGGTCTTTAGCTGTTTGGATTTTCAACTACAGTATATTTTTACAGACCCGGACTATAGCAGTTTTGATAATGAAAACATGCCTGAGAGGGATGATAATTAGAGTTTAGCATCTGGTATTTTGTATCTAAAAATCTACCTTTCTCGGTTGCACATCTGTCAAATGACCAAAAATTATCAGGAAGTTCAATTAATTCAAATAATAGATAAAGGCAGAAGGGGTAGCCTTGTGAAACTGTTCCTAAAAGCACAATGGTACAGGCAACTTAATTTTTTTTAATTCAAGTAAGCATACATTACAACTTTAGCTCTAGTACATGAAGAAAGGAGCCAGTATCTTGTGAAAGTTCATTTTACACTCCAGAGACAGAAGGCACTAGAATGGCAAAAGCTAAAGTCTAATTGGAAAACAATTTCTTTCTTGTACATTGAAATCATTAGCACTTATTTGACACTTTCTAGCACTGTTTCCCTGAAAAGGCTTCCCATGAGATCCTAGTTGACATGCCTCAGATAAAATCAAACTGTGCAGCATGAAAAGTTTATGAACAGTCTTAATCAACGTTAATCAACTTTGGCATTTTACTAGGCTAAGGGGAAAATTGCATTAGGCCAAATGAGAGTCAGCAAACGCGTAGTAACATGATGATGGCTGCTTTGTGTTCTGCTCTCCAGACCGGGATTCTGCCATACTTAGAAGTACAAGTATGATTAAAACAAGATTCATTCACTAGCTACATTAGTATAATTACATTCATAATGATTTTCTAATAAGTAGAAAATCAAAACATTCTGAGAAGGGATTCACATGCACAAAAGCTTGGCTATTTTTACTAGCAATATTGGTCTCAGAAAATACACAACCTTTGAGTACAATTATTACCTTTCTCATGCTACAGCATCTTACAAATTGATACAAAAACTGTATGTTAGGATTGCTGTGAGACAAAGGTATTTAAAATATAAATGGATTACAAGTTACAATTTTATTTCCAGCTTTCCTGATGATAGTGAAGTATAAGCAGCCACACTTGAACAAAGTCTGTTTTTATAGTGGACCTTTCTTCTTATAAAGAAAGGTCTTACAAAGGAAGGATGGAAGGGAAGGAATAAAATATGAGATCATTTTTGACATTTCCTCTTGCATTTCAAAGAGGTATATCAAAAAAGAAGGTGTAAGGAATCTCCTACTTTGAATGCAAAATGAGTTATTCCACTGCCAGTGTGCAGAGAATCTTTTAGAGAGACAATATTTTAGACTTATCAGCTGCTAAAGTCTGCCTTGTCTTTTATAAAAGGGACTACATCCACTATCAAATTAGTGGATGACACTTTCAAAAACAGAGGGTTTATGAGTTGGAAAAGAAAAGAACAAGACCAGTAACCATCCTAATAGCCACAAAGTATGAAACACTGAGTTAACACAGCTGCTTAGCCTAAATGTAATTAACCACTGTACTACAGTTCAGGTTAGTGCTACAGAATTTATATAGTACAAAGCCAAAGAGGATACACTTGTGCAGAAAGACTTCCCAGCCTTATCTTTACTTTTCCATATGAAATATTTTCACAGCAATTGTTCATGCTCTCCCATAGAGCAAACTGAGCTGGTCTGATGAGTAGCCACGTTCTGTGAGCAGTCTCCCCCGTGCCAGCTATTTCAAAAGCTACCAAGCAAAAAAACGTCAATAAACAGCTGATGGCATTTTGCTAGTGATACTGTGGATTTCATAGGTATTCATCCATCATTCACAGTTGTTTTCAAAAGTATTCATGGCTGTCAAGGTTCAAACCCTATAAAAAGACTCTGTAACACATTCAAAATTCAGCCATAAAAATACAGAAAACTAAGTTATACACTAAAATAAAGCATTGCTTCTTATGTGCAAATCACTGCAGTCTGTGAGGTGTGTAGGACAAATCAACATTTGACAATTTTGGATGCAGAGTGAAACAGTGACATAGGATGAGGACAAGGCTGAGGTACTTAATGGCTCCTTTGCTTCAGTCTTTGACAGCAAGACCAATTGTTTTCTGGATATCCAGTCTTCTGAGCCAGAAGACAGAGACTGGGAGCAGAATGAAGCTCCCATAATCCAGGAGGAAATAGCCAGCAACCTGTTATGTGATTTAGATACCTGTTATGTGATTTACGGGGCTAGATGGGATCTGTGGAGAGAGTCCCTGTAAGATCTATGTATTGGAATAACTGGGACCCACTTATCCATTACATAGATCTTACAGGGATTGTCTCCACAGGGATCCACCTAAGCGTACCGAGGGATCTGGCGGAAGAGCTTGCCATGCTGCTTTCAGTCATCACCAGTAGTTCTGGGTAACTGGAGAGGTCCCAGTTGACTGGAAATTAGCAAATGTGTACAAGAAAGGCTGGAATGAGGTTTCAACAAGGTTTCAGCCTGACTTCAGTGCCAGAGAAGTCATGGAGCAGATCATCTTGAGTGCCAACATGGGGCATGTACAGGACAACCAGGAAATCAGGCCTGGCAAGGTTGGTTTTATGAAAGGTAGGTCCTGCTTGACCAACCTGATGTCCTTCTGTGATGGTGTGACCTGTTTTGTGGATGAGGGAAAGGCTGCAGACATTGTCTGCCTGGGCTTCAGTAAACCTTTTAGCCTAGCCCCTAACCTGCAGCAGCAGATGACTGCAAACAACTCCAACACTGCTGACTCACATCCTGAGAGCAAAGAGGACTTGTCAGACACATGGCTGCTTGCTTCTCTCACAAGGAATTACTTCTCAGAAAGTTGCTTCCTGTGACTTTGTCCACCTGATGGAACATCTTCAGCCTTCATAGAGTTAACTGCTATGGCCCTACACTGTTACTGTCCATAATTCCATATCCAGCAAGCATTTAATTCCATTGTTTTATGTCATGTTTCTTTCTATCAGTTCACAGGATGAGAAGGACATGCAAAGATGTCTCAGCTTTGCTTTACTCTCTCACAGAATATCTTAAAAAGAGGAAAGGAAAACTTGTTCACTAGCTGAGGAGAAGTACTTTGTCTCCCTAGTGGATGATGTCCATGTGTCCTTCAAAAAGACATTTTGTTGTGCTCAGACCTTCGAAGCAGGAAAAAGGTAACATGAAGAAATCAGTACAAATTATTCTGTTTGTGTATACTTGTTTTCATATTTGGTTCTACATCATGTATATACTGACTGCCTCTTGTACTTCTCCAATTTTGGTACAACGAATTCTACACTATTTTTGAAAAAGAAGAAAAATTAGCACAGTATCTTTTCCCCAAAATGGTGAAGTTAGATGAAGTAAAAAAATATATGACAACAGTGTAGGGTGAAACAGAGCTAATCACTAAAGAAAGCAGTATCTGGGGTGATAAGAGACAACATTTGCATGACTCAAGAAGGTATAGAAATTTCTACAGGGCATGAATTCATTAGTCAGAATCACATATTAAAAATAAGCAATGGACAAAGTAAATATTTTTGATTTATAGAGGTATTATTCCATTGAGAGTTTCTGCTAAGTGGACCATAAATTATCAGAACTTTACTCCTGTGCTTTATTACACCACTGAAACCTGCTGGTATAGTCCATTATGTGTCTTTATTTTCCCTTATATTCTCACACACACAAATGTCGCAGTCTGCATAACCTGAAAGATTACTTAAATACTGAAAGAATTTCTCAGATTTCTAATCACATGCCATTTAGAAATATTTTACATCATGTGAAGAAAAAAAATTCTAAAAAGAAACCAATCATATAATAGTCCACCGGACAACATATAACAGTTGTAGGAGGTTCTATGAAATTAGCCGATAGCTGAGAATAGGATTTTCCAAATCCTCTAAGCACCAGATATGAACAAATAGAGGAAAAGCTAAATTAACCTGCTTAATTCTAAGTACAGTAGAATACAAATTGCCAGAATTATGCAAAGTACACACACGCACATGCATGCACATGCACCCCACACAGGGGGCAAACCCACATTTTCCCCCATTTCTGAACCTGGTACCTTGCTCTGTTGGGCTGCTTGGGAGACTCTGATCCAAAGTTACATCAAGCAGGATTGTGGAAGCTCCCAACACATCTACCAAGGCTGGGTAAATCAAAGATAGAGGCCAGACAGAAATTTCTCTCTTGATTCTTCAAGCATGGGAGCTAGATGCAAGGCTGACCACCTTCCTCTTCAGAAGTATTACTGGCTAAGCCTTCACTTTGTCTCCATGACAATATCCATCTCAGTTCCTTGATTAGTGGATAGCCCCAAGTGAATCTGTACTACAAGCATCAGTCCAATCCCATCTCAGCAAGAAGCCCAAACCTTGAAGTATCTGCTTCTCCATGTTATGTACAAGATCCTGGCATGTACATCCAATGCTGCAAGCTGAAGAAATCAGCTCAAGTTATGAGGGAGATGGAAAATTACAGTATTGATATTCTCAGCATGAGTGGGTACAGATGGTCAGGAACAGATTGTATCAAATTGAAGAACAATAATAAAATCATGAACTACTGAGGTTCCCCTTCTGGAGGAAAACAGATAAGTTGCACTGATTGTGAGTGACACCACATAAAGAGCCCTGTGAGACTGACGAGGAACCAATCAGCAGCAAAGCAGCAGGTACACAGTTCAAGTAAGTGAGGATGAAAACCCTCCAAATGTACCATGATACAAAAACACTTCCTAAAACATCTTACAGAACCTTTTTAACAGTAGCACACCCTCATTGACATGGCTGGGCATAAATTGGAAAGTAGAGAGAACTAATTATGGACAGAACATGACTGGGTATCTGGAATCTGTTCACACAGCAGCACTAATAAAGACATTATTCAACTTTAGTAACTAAATTATCTCTTGATGGCAAGAGCATGTTCTTCTGCCCACAAAATCACATCAGACTGGTGATAATAAAATATGGGCACAACATGATTTTAACCTGTATTAATTTTTTATTGTTCCTCTGAATGTTTGGGCATGTAAGTTTTAGATGCCAACAGTGATGTGACATATATGCTGCCATAGTGGAAAATAAATAAGATACTTGTAGAAGTAAATAAAAAATAGCCACTCAAATGTATGGTGTTTAAATGTCAATTCTTTAAAAAGCAATTCTTCCACTGAAAGGCATAATTTTCAGGTTTCACAAAAACAAAACTTGAGTATCCTCAGCAAAATATGTTAGTAAAACTAAGACTTTTCTGATATTTTTCAATAAAAATAGGGCTGGGTCACTGCAATGCTGTGGAGCAGCAGTGCCAGAAAGGGACCAGCAAAGCAGTACTTCCAAAACGGTCAGGACAAAGCCTCATTAAAATGGAAAAAATGAATCAATGTTTATGAAGAAAAGACATCACACTGGCAGACAGCGAAAAGGGGGCTCCTGATTTTAATAACAGCTTAAAAGGGAAGAACTGGGAGGCACAACACAGTGTAGGGTAAAACAGATCAGATCTGCTCAAAGGCAGCAAAAAGAATCACAAAAGGATGCTCTAAATCTTGATCTGAGAACAAGAGAATGGATCCACTTTAAAAGAAAGTAGAAAAAAAACATACAAAACTACCTGAAAGACAATTTTCATGACTGTAAGGCTGACATAGCATCACAGTCCTCTCCAGAAAATTATCCTACATACTTACACTGAATTGGATTTGCAACATCACTGCATTATCAGGTACCTTAAGAACAGCAGATTACTTCTGGCAGCTGCTCTTGTGCTGACCGTATGTTCACTGTCAGTGAACAACCAGTGCACAGTGGGACACAGGGCACATTCCAAACATACCTAGACTGTGGTCTTTGGTACTGACTTCCAGGAAGCTTTCAAGAGAATCTCTGAAATTTTTTAGTGAATCTGTACAATACCCAGAAAATGTTATGGTGTTCATTAAGACATGAGATAGATGGACCAAGATCTCTAACCAGCTGGCTTAAAGTTAATAGTGAATTTACTGTATTTTGGAGGTAACACATCTTCAAGACAGTGAAATTCTGTGGTCAGGTCACGCACATGTAGGTCTGGACATTGCTGATGGTATCTGCTTCCTGGAGACATTGATAAAAAACACACTGCCTGGGAACTGTCAGAACTGAATAAAATGTCCTGAAGTCAGAAAGTCGATAAACAAAGGTGATAAAAACCAGTGTGACCTCAGAGAATTGTATTGCTCCATAAGAGGGAAGTCTGAAGTATCATTACCTCACTAAAACAGCAACTTCTGCACGATTTCAACTGTGAGCAAATGACTCAAGTGGAAAGCTTTGCTTTGCCATGGCTGGCCTCCAGCAGGGAAATCTAACGCCCTCCATGACAAGCTAAGAGTCTTTTGTAGCTATGCATTAAACATATATCTGCAGGTCAGGAAGGAACAGATGGAAAACTGCTGTCAGCATTGGTATTCCCCTTGGCTACTCAGAAACAGTTGCACAGAATAAAGCAGTCCCTGATCTTGGACTGGACATTGTGGCCCAAAACACCTGACCTCTGGCATCCCCAAAGACAAGAAAACCAGAGACATTTTCAGCACAGTATTCACTAAAGCAGCAGTTTTGCAAGAGAATTTGGGAAACTGTGATGGCGTTGGCTTCTGATAGTACTTCCTCAAGGCAGCTGAAATCTTATGCTTCTGGTGATATGAAAAGTAGGTTGAATTAAGACAGATAAAATGAAAACCTGACAGATTTGCAGTATCTTCCTTCAGGTATTTCTAACTGAAATATGTAACTGGTTAGTTTAGCAATCTACTGCATACAATTTTAGCTTTTCCTACCTTATGAATAAAATCTTAGGTTACTAAATATTTTAACGAAACTCATTTTAATAGGTTTTTTAAGAATTTAGTTCTGATCTGTTCTGCCACATTTTTTCCGTGTCTGCTACTGTGACTCCATCCTTTAGTGTGACCATCCATTTGAATTTTGGCTCTGCCCAAAATTAACTATGACATTTCTTCAACATAGAGAGCTCTGTCAAAATCTCTGTCTAGGGCTGTTCACACAAAAGATTCTCTACAGAGTAAGGCACAAAACACAAAGGTATTTGTCTTTTGAAGCAAATTACTACACATTGTCCATAATATAAGGAATTGTCACTAAGCCACATTTCTGGTTTTATTCCTTTATTCCTGGAGGGGAAAAAACCCTCTTGTGACTAAACCTTAGTTTCAAATCACATTTGGACCCAATTACTGAATTAAGTTTATTCCACAGTTTGACATCAGTATCATAATCCAGTTACCTATCCCATGCTGCTTTAACTTGTGATAGTGAACATTTTCTATTCGAGATATTGTACCGCAGCTACTGGACAGCCATAACTGATAGGATTATGTAAAAACAGCAGCTTATCATGAATGTCCTAACGTTTTCTGATGTTAAATACTCATTTGAGAATGATGCAACTGCAAATATTGCCAGTGGTTTTGTTTGCCAAGGTTATATTTTGCCTTAAGTGATGCAAAAGAACACAGGCTCTTTTCCTGAAATAGCTGGTCTATAAATATGATACCTTTAGATACCCAGCTGAGCCAATGATTCTTTTGCCTTCAGACTTAAATGCTGGATTATCCCATTTGTGAGGGAAAAAAATAGGTGTTTTTTGATATTTCACCTTACATTCTTATAGCATAAGAAGGATTGAATTTTCCCTTTCGTCTTCATTCAAACTAAGTGAGAAAACTGCTGACATGTTCCTTTCTTTTTGATCTGTGCTTTATAGCTCCCCCATCTCCTGCCATGCCAAACTGCACCCCTTTGGCCAGTCTGCAATTATATTCTGGTAATAATCTTTCCCCTTTGGTTCTCCTGGCTTCTCACCCTCCATGAATTTTTGAGTCCAGGTTTCCTTTCCCTTAATGCATCCCAAATACGGCACACACCATAGTGTAGATTCACAGGCATCTGCAAATGATTAAAGCAACCATAGGTCTTTAAAAGCAAAACTATCCTCATTTTTGGAGGGATTAGGAGTAATACTGCCCCAGATATAATACAGTAGAAATTGCCTCAAAAAAGAAGTATTTCTATTTTCTGATTAGCAAAACCTAAGTCATTCAGCCAAGTCAAAGATAACCACAGAGAAAGCAAGAATTTCTGAGGTGCTATTTTAAGAAGCAGGGATGTGAAGAGAACAAAAACAGAAGAGAAAGAAAACCATAATGCTGGAAAATCTGGAATCCTCAGATCAAAAGAGTTTTACAAATAGGAAGAAGTGATTTCATCCTCAGGTACTGTTCGATCTCTACCCTAGATCTCAAAGTGCAGAAAAACAGCAAACAGCTGTTCTCACAGGACAGTGAAAGGGAAATGAGTAATGACAAATGCTGCTGCTTAGCTACCCAGGGATGTTTGCCCCAGATAGCAAAAGCAGGAGTGCCCAGACTGGGACTCTGCAGCTGTTGATAAGGCTTGGCTCTGTCATGAACTAGTGGAGTTGTTTTAGGCAGTTGTTTGATGCAATGGCCTCTCTTAGCAGGTGTAACAGATCCCCTATCCCTTGCTACACCCCACAGCCCACTTGTATTTTACACCACTACAGCTTTCATGTACTGTTTTGTAAGTAATTGGGATTTTCAGGTTGCTGGAAAAAATGGTCATATTCTACAATAAGGCTCTTAGATAAAATCCCACATCTTCAAATAATTCCACTCTGACTGAATACAAGTTCGAGGTTTGGATGTCAGTATTGTAATAAATACATGAACACAATATGTTTACTGAATCTATATTAAATCTGTGGGTTTCTATCATATTATGGTTTTTAATCACATTTTTACAATGACAGTCAAAATACCATCTCCATCCATTTATCTTCTTAATAATCAGCAATGCTCTTTTGTCTGCTGAAGGATCTTTGGTTTTGCCCACACAAGCCATAAAAGAAGAAAACATTATGCAACATGCTATAAGCTCACACTTTTTGTACCTGCTGAAACTGCTCCAGTCCTGGACGAAATGAAATCATTAAATACACTAATATTCATTAATATTTAAAAAAACTAAATTCAATATATTCCATTTTATATTCCAAAAACTTCAGAGATAACAGTTCAAACTTTGAAGGCACCAGAAAACAGCAGCTCCTCCTTATGTTAGTCTAACAGTAATTACTCATTACCTTTGAAAATAAGTCCTTAAGGTTGTTTCAAACTGTTTATAAAGCACATGATCTTCAACTGAGAGAAGTGTATATTTTTTTCATTTATTATAGTAAGCAATGACACTTTCAGCAGTTTTTAGTTGGTGGTATTTGAACAGTGATCTTTGATTTTGTGCTAGAATTCTTCGCGTACCTTCTAAGGCCCCAGAAGTCTTGGGTGAGCACATCACAGTCTTTTCCTTCTAATTAAAGTCCCTCTTCTTCAAACACCTTTCTATCTTTCTCTAGTTTAACACTGAGCTTGTTTCCCACAAACCATTATCCATAGAAATTTGTCTTCAGTTACAAAATCTCATTCATCTCTCTTCAAACATTTTTAGACATTTTTAGGTGCAGAATTGCAGAAGGTACACAAGGTGTTCGTTTGTCACTGGTTCTGCTCATCTTAAACCTCATTGCCTCTGTGTGCAATTGTGTCCAAACCTAGACAGATACTCATAAGTTAAATAGTCATATTTCACATCATAATGTTAAGTATAAAAATCAAGTTTTAACTAAAATACAAATGTCTGAAGCATGAGACAAACACCTCTTGAAACAAGCATTTACCCCCATCGAGTACAGATCAGGTATGCAAAGCTGTGCACTAGGCCTGCACTGCAGACATCTAAAGTTAAGCAAGATGAAATCTACTGCCTCCACCACATTCTTGGTCCAGTCACTGGGAAAGTACTGCAGAGATACTTCCATATAACAGAGCATGTTACCTGACTAAAGGTTACCAATTAAACACAAAGCCATGGCAAGGATCTGAACAATTAGAAAAACCAAGTGCACACACTCACCAATCCAAAAAACATGGAAGGGGAACGATACAGATGACTGCTCCTAGTGCAAAACCCACTAAATAAGTGTAGGAAACTCCCTAGAAAACTCTGCAAACTGAGGGATTATCTAAAGATTGTAAAACTTCAGAGGAGAATGAATTTAGGGAGTGTGTAAAATTTATTGGAGGATTATTTTTTTTAGTGGATTGCATTGTGCCAAACTTCCTCTGGGATGTTTAAGGTAACCACGAAAAGTGTGTAAAGGGAGTGACTGAAGTAGACTGGAGAGAAAGAGGCATCGGAAAACCAAGGACAAAGAGGATAAAGGGGACCAGTCCCATGTAGACAGCTTACCAATTACACTGCAGTAGTCCATCCCATATTAGTATTGCACCCTATTTCCAACTAGACTTGTGTGCATGTACCTGTCAAGGCTAGCAAACCTCAAGTGAGACTAGCTCACCAGCAGGACAACAGGAGCATGATCCACTGGAGCAGGACCACATGGCCAAGGCACTTGAAGGTCCAGGGGCCTGCAAAGGGGAAACATGGCAGTCACCTCTGGAGTGTCCCCAGAGCAGCCACCGGAGCCCCGCTGCAGCTGCGTGCACACCCAGAGGCGAGGCTCAGCCTGGCCAGCCGGAGGAGGAAGAGGGAGGAGCAGCAACAGCCAGCCCAGTCTGTGTTTACACAGGTGCCAGTACAGGCACTGCACTCTGCCCCTAGGATTTGTGGCTGGCAGTGTTTATTGTTTGTATTGTGTGTAGGTGTGCACACAGGTATTGTTTGATATTGTTACAAGCTTGCTGATACAGGAATCACAACAGCCTGGGGTCCTCTGGCTTGGGAGGGGAAACTAAAAAAAGCCCTCATCCCAAAAGCCAGGCTATTGCTAAGGTATTGTTATCATGAGCAAAGTGAAGAAGAGTCATGCAGACACAGGCAAAAAACCCTCCTGTTGAAATTTTCAGTTGGTCTAAAGGTTTATATATTTCCACATACCTGAGTGGTCATTTAGTTTGTTTTAGGCACCTGTAACATATGGAGAATAAAAGAAATTACTTTATTCAAGTATCTGTTTCATTACGTAATTTGGCTATGATGAAACAGAAATAAAACATTGATGACTCCATAGCTGTTTTACCATGAAACACCAAGGCTATCACCAATGCTATGAATACTGTTCTAAGTATTTATGCAATAAAGAAATTATTTTTCTTTCAAATCACTTCTTAGGTATGTTCCCAAAGAAAGAACATACACAGAACTCTGGATGCTTTTTTAATTAGCAGGTCTGTAGGCATTGGTTTAGAAAACAATGTCATTTTCTTTTACTTGAATCAACAACACCAAAATTTTGAAGGGAAACATTACCAGTTTCCTTTGATTTTCAGTATTTTATGTGGTACTAATGATTTTACTATACACTTGGGTACACATACATGCAGATGCATGTATCCATAGTCTTTCTACATACAGTCATTTTGATAAATCTAGGCAGCACCATTAACGTGATTAAGATGAGGTCTGATTACACCCCTCAAATCACTGAAGGGAAAAAATAATAAAAACCCCTGCCAAATAAAAATTTATTAAGGGCTCCTGCTTCTTTATTTTAATTTCTAAACCATTTCAGCAATGGCCTGTAACAGACTTACATGAGCACTTCTTGCAAGCACAGCTAACACCTGGCAACTACTACATTTACATAAATGTTTTTGAGTGTTGTTGCATTACGTACTTCAGGCGGATGACCACAAAAAGCACCAGATACAAACTGTAAGTTTCCAAAAGGGATAAATCAAGAGCAGATGGCCCAAGAGCATACAAATCCATTGCCATGGATCCTCTGAACTGAAAGAATATCCGTGCAAAACTCCAATTAACTGATTTCCAAGCAGAAAGTCCCAGCTCAGACCTACACTGATTTTGCACCTAGCATGTTTCAATAAGTCACAGCAAGACTTGACTCTGGAAAACAGACTTTTTCCTGGAATGGTAAGAGTGTGCCCCACTTGATGACAAGACAAATCTCTGTGTAAAACTACATCCACAGATTTTGGAGAAGGAATTCATAACCGAACGCAGAGACTCTGAGTACTCTCCTAACATTAAAATTCCTTTTTTCAGCATAGTTACAATCTTTCAAGTAATTTTCAGCCAACCCTGATCATTTGAGTTGCACCACTCGGATTCTCTCTGAAAGCAGCAGTTCACAAAGGTGTTAGAACATGAGGAGATCCTTTGGACACGGCTCACACCCACTGCTCCACACCAATGCCACATCACCACCTAACCAACTCCACAACTGAAAGCTCTCAGTACATTCAGAGTTCTGCAGCAAAGCTAATAAATTCCAAGCAGCAGGGCTTGTTCACACCGGGGGTTACCATGACTCAACAAATCAATAATCAACGGCTTCAACTCACGCAGAACTGACAAGGCTGAAAATTTTTAATCACATTTCAGGAGATTAGTCTGGTTTTGCAAATCGTGCAAGACTTGACTACAGCTGTGTCACAAGCCATATTGTGGGCTGCATATTCTCCCTCAATTTTTTCAGTATTTCAGGAAGAAAATGAACTGTATTTGGCACAGAGTGCACTGTATTAGTACAACAGGCACACAGCCAGCATCAGCCTATTTCCTGATCTGTTCCACTTCTTCTCATCATCCTACTTATAGCTCTTCAGATCTGCTTCTCTTCCTGCATCACCCCATAAAGGTAAGTGATCCAGAGAGTCAAAGATACATTATGGCCTCTTATCACCAAAGAGCCATAATTTTGCCATGATGATTCAGGAATCTTGCCCAAACAGTACTGCAAGAGACAAGTTAAAGAGTGAGAACCAGAAATGCATATGGATTAGTGTCAGCAGAAGCATTAAACAGGATACTATATGAAGGCAAGTGCTCAAAGTGCTCAGTTTCCAGATTAAAAAAAAAAATTTAAGTTTAATTGAGTTCACCTCTTTTTTTGTGCATAAGCTCGGGGTAAGGGGAGAATCATTACACACTGCAGTGTTAAGATTTAAAAAGAGCTTTTTGTAGAGATGATGTTAAGCAACATTACAGTTATTACATATCTCATATCTCTCTTCAGTCTAGACAGCCTAGTTTCATTCCAGCAGAGTTTTCTCATCACCTTGGCAACTTCAATAAAAGGCTGTTTATTGCATGGGAAGAGAAACAGGGTGTTTCCCAGGCAAACTGTAAAGGAACTTTGGGATACAGATACCTTGTAAAGTGTGAAACTTCCATTTTTCTTCTATAGATGTAAAATAGAAAGCTTATAATGAATCTCATACAAAGGAGTTTCTATATGTAATTTTTTAAATCCAGATTTTGCAAATTTTAAAGAGAAAAAAATTATTCAACTAAGTAATTATAAATATAGCAACTTAACAGTCTGAAGTTTGGTCAGTTTATATAACAACAGTTAAAAAACAGAGCAAAACTATAAATATTTACAGATGTCTGAAAATCCTGTTGTATTTCTTTCTGGATAAAATAAAAATAATTCATTGTATTATAAGAAGTATAATGTAGACATTAAGAATAATCAGTTGAAATAATCAAAATCCAGTCCATTGCTAAAGGTCACTTTATTAAATCTGTTTAAATAAAAATTTTTAAAAACGACAGCATAAGGACAATAATTTTTGTAACTCCGTGTGGAGCTTTTTTTTTTTGCTTTGACAAGTATTAACCTATTTTATCCCTTTTTTGTAGTAACAGTACCAAGGAATAGAACTGGAATTACAGATATTCTCCACCAAGTTATCTGCTTGTATCAAAAGGGTCAAACTCCACTGCAATATGCAGTGTTGGGCCAGTAAAATCAGACAAATGACAAAAAAATGTTACAGGGGAAATTCTCATAACTACTCAAAACAGATGATGACTTGAGAAGTCAAGAGGATGAACAAACTTGGAAGAAAAGTCATGTTTCTGGAACCACATGCTGTCTTACCAAAGTCCATCAAATTGTACAGTGTATTATTTCAATTGTGACATTTTTCTTTCATTGTGGCATTTTGTACATGTGAAAACAATTATTTCACTACTGCCACAATATGCTTCTTCCTCTCTGGCACGAGGGGCACGGATCCTGGCTTGCTGTGCTTACGACGATTCAGTTCCCTAGAAACAAAACAGAAAAATGAAACTCAGTAGTCAGCACAAATGTTTAAGAAATACTGTCTTCCTCCTCAAGCTACTAATGAAGTCATCCTACAAAGACAGCCTAATAAGTTAAGAATTGCTCTGTTTCTAATAACCAAAAGCCATATACTCCTTTGGGAAGAAGGACCATCCCTTTTGAAAGTAACTTTAAAGTTGGCTAATTTAGAAAGGTTTCAAATGAGCCTTTCTTTGGGAGCTCAGCTTGTTTTCATGTCAACACGATCAGCTGCTCAAGTTTGTGGAGTTTTTAGCTAATCAAGATGACTAAGACCCACCACTTTACTGTTAATTCAATGGCTACAGCAGAGTAAGCAACCTTCTACTCCTAGAAATTCCAACAAGGCAATAATCCAGGAGCTATAAAACACTCATCCTGGAATCTGGCATTATCAAAAAAGGCAAAACCAGAAACGCACAAAAAGCCATACAAAACCCAAAAAACCCTCCCCACACACCCTGTAACAGCCCATCCTATTTCCACTGCAATGGGGCACCATGTCATGCTTAACTCAGCACTGTGGCTCTTTCCTTTCCAGCATGGCATCTGTTGCCATGTCTTCACTGTGCTTCTGGGAAGCAGCCAGCCCTCACTGCCACTGGCACTCATCTGCGTTTGCCTTAGCATCAATCCAGTAGCTCATGATCCCTCACTGAGATGCTCAAAGGAGCTCCATCACTCCCACAGGCCACAGCAGCACTGCAGGGATGGGTTTTATTTAGAGGAAGAGAAAGTGAAGGCAAGGAGGAGCACGCACTTGCGGCGCCGAGCCTCCCTCATGATGCGCTGCTCCCTGATCTGGCAGTAGATGCTCTTGGGCAGGTGCCGGTGCTGAGCAATGCGCCGGATCTGCGGGTGGAACTGGAACTTCTCCTTCAGCTTCTGATTGTAATTCATGGCTGCCTTCTCTCGGGGTGCAAGCTGCAGGGAAAGTAACACAGACAAGCATGTTATAAAGGAACAGGGATTTAACTGTCAATCTCCTCTACAAAACAAAATTTTAACTTTTCATTCAAATGGCTTCTTTCTAGTAAATTCCTCCAGAATACGGGTAGGTAAGTATTAAAAACCCTAAAATTCCAACAATATCCCAATGCTCAAACACAAAACATTATCATTTTAAAGCTAAGTGGAGTAACCAAATTTAATTCCAGAGAATTAGATTTTAATGTGCTGTAGAGTGAAAAATGAGAACATAAATAGCTGATTAATCTTTCCTAACCTCAGATGACAACCAACTTTCCCTGTAAAACAAAGATTTTCAGGCATTTTAATCACTAGCCAGTGCAATTATAAATGCTGTAGAGGAACTGCCCTCATGAACAGCTTTACAGAAAGCTCTTCAGGTGGCCTGAATCTTACCCAGCACCCTGATCCCTTGGGAAGCACAATGCATGGATCAGATTTCAAGTATTAGCTTCACTATATAGCACACAGAGCGCTCCAACTTGCATCAAGCAGCTAAAAAAGTCTTGGTATCACAACCACAGGAAATACAGGTGAGCTGGTACTGCCATAAAAGACTATTTTTCAACTCATGTTTAAAATTCTGTCCAAGCCACCATCAACAACACCAAAAGTAAGAAACATGTTCTCTTGACAGCCAATCTACAGAAGATTTTTTTTTCAACTAGGCTTTTTCCCTTTGGTCCTAATGTCTATTTATCAAAAAGAAAAATATGTGTTTCCTGTGGTTTTGTTTAAAGCATGAATTGCTTCATGAGCAACCTCTATGTATTTTGGATTTACTTGGATCTTTGGGAATTTCAGCTGCATTTCAGTCTAGTGAGTTTTCACATAAATATAAAATCTGTTCATATAAATTTAATATGATTTTAATCCCATCCGCTTTTTCCTACCCACTTGCCCAAACTATCTAACTCCAATATTTCTGACATTTTAAAAACCCTTCACATTTTCCATTAAACCATGGCACCAGTCTTTTGCCATCCCACATTTGTGTCACAATGCTATCTCCACCTAAAACATTAAAAGTAAAACAATAGTTCATGCAACTTCTATTTATTCAGCTTTGCAAATGACTTGGTGTCACTAACTTCTCACTTTCCAGAAAAGACAAACTGATTCTAACCAAAAAAAAAAAAAAGAAGCAGTAACAAACCAAACAACTTTATTACACACACAATTGGAAATTTCACTTACAATATAATGAGACACATGATTTCCCCCCCCTTTGAAATCAGCAATTGGCTATTTATTCTCCACTCCGGAGATCACTTTTGTGTGTGACTTGTGGTAGAATTTTTCATGAATTCTGCATAAATAATTATAACACTCAGATTTTGGTCCAGAATACCATAAATGGTCTGAAAACAAGTATTGATAAAAATTACCCCAAAGGAGCTTCTGATTTGGGTCATTAAGGAAACCAGGTACCAGATACAGAGTTGCTCATGGCTCAAAAAATTCTTATTCAAACATCAGAGATACATGATGCTCATGACCTGTTTCTCCACACCCTCTTGTTCATAAAATCCAAATCCTTCTGCTTTGCTTACACTCATTGTGGCCTCTGAAATTGAAATTGAGTATAGTTTACAGTCTTAGCCCACTAAAGTTACCCTCCCCCTTTTACTGAAATTCCTCCTTGTGAGCCAGCCTGTGAATAGCTGGTTCACTCTCAGTAAATCTCAGGTGTTTCCAATTTGCAGAAAACTGCCAACATAATCCAAATTAAAGAGCTATATTTTAATTAAATGCAATGATTTTTCTTTCATTTTAGAAGACCAAATTGCTGCCTATTTAGTATAACAACCTTGATGATTCTACAGACAAGAGGTGATTCTTTAAATTAAAGATACATCCAGGACATCTTATTTAAAAAAATAATATAGATTAAGAGGTGGTGGAGCCTGACTCCATTTTTATGGGTAATGTGGTATAGAGAAAGGGACACAGCTGGTGACTTCCACCCAACTACCAGATGCCAGCAGCCAATACACCCAGCTGTGCCAAGTGCACCCTCATCCACAGAATGGGAAAAGAAAATGTTGCAGTAATTACAAGTTTCCTTCATGAGAGGTAGCAGATAGCTAAGAAAGCACATTGCAATAATGCACTGAATTCCAGCTTTCTCTTGTAAGTCACTTTACAAAGCTCAGTGTGAACAGCTCAAGAGAACTGTGTTACCTCCCATTCTGTTTTGGGCTGGAGAAGATGCACAGCAGGATCAGAGATTTTATTTATAGGGACTAGAACACTCTTCAATTTAATATACGTAATAAATTAGGATTTATGTGACATCATGGGGGAAGACATACTTAAAGGTGACATATGATTGTTTTTTCCTATGTTCAAATAATGAACGTGCTATTTCTTTCCTACACGAGAAAAATGAAGATTACGTGGCAGACTCCCTTACACAGGAGGACTTCACAGCAAATACTTAGGGTGAAAAAAGGGAGAAAGAACTCTTAAAAGCAATCAAGTTGTCAGCAATAGGAAAATGCCTCTTCGAGTAAACTGCCCATGCCTCTTCTCCTCCCTCTTGACACAGACCGCTTATTTTTCCATCTAAGCAGAAGGAAAGTAAGCATTTTTGCAGAGCCCTGATTAGAAGCTAAAACCACCCTTAAAAAATTCTTCTCTTCAAGAGGGCTGTATTTAAAACTCCACACTATTAAGACTTCTGTAATTCAGCATGAGAATATGAAATGAATGTTTATCTGTCCTCTTCAGGTTGCCCTTCTGGGATAGGGCAGGCAAGAGCACAGATGCAATAGATTTTTAGAATCCAGAAAAATCCCAGCAGTTTTCTACACTACAGCTTGTCTTATTTTATTTTTCTATTGCTCTGAGGAAAACACCTTCTAAATTTATAGCCATGAAGTTCATTATTCATTCTTTCCTGGACCAAAATTTTTGATCTCTTTACATCTAAATGGATGACAAAAGCAAAAAACCAGAAAGGTAATGTAGGGCAATGTAGATGTTAAGAGCATAAAATCATAGCTACAGGGCTGAAGTTGCAGGTGCACTGAATCACAAACTGAAAATCACAATGAAAAGAATGCCATGACCCACAGTGTCTGGTACTGCTTGTTATCAGCATTATCTCAGAAAATGGAACCACATACTAGAAACAGACTGAAAGGATAAACAATTGCTTAAGACAGTTCTGACGTGCTCCTGCTAATGCACTTTGCTAGATCAAAACCAAGACTTCTAACAGCACTTTCTCTACTAGCCCATACTCAAAATCTGCTATTTCTGCATTTTTAAGGAAGCAGTAAACCTATGCTCCACTACTGTTCACTCATTCATCAATAGTTTCACTAAAATTCTAAGCATCCTAACCCACTGCTCTGTGTACTAATTCACAAAAGTAACAGAGACAAAATTTTGCAGCTGCTGCTCACAGAAGTTAAGTTACTAAGAATTCACACTCTAAGAAGTGCAGGTATAGTTTCTTTTTTAATGTGGTAGACTGAAGAGCAATACAGCTTCTACAAGTTTTACTGATGGTTCATTACTTTCAGTACAATTTGGAGAAACCCAGTCTATCCCTTTCTTTCTATCAATTACATTAATTGTACACTATTAACTGAAATCCACTATATTACTGCTGCTTTTTCAGCCTTTCCACTCAGATCAGGCTCTATTTTCCTCCTCAAAAGTCAAAATCATTTTCCTTTTCATAAATCCCAAACTTCTTCAAAAGCACAGGTTAAAAAAGCATCAAACATACCTAACAAGCCACATATTATGTATTCGAACAGTCTAGAGTTTCTCAAGTCTTAACAGAGTCTTTTGCTTCTGGGCATGCTGAGATAGATGTTCACTGCTTTAAAAATAACACCTGTTACATCCTATTTAATAATACATACTAATCAATTAATGAAAATTTATTAAAAGCTAAATGTAGAAAATTATTTTGAAGCAACCTCTGCAGTAGCTCCAACACAGATATTAGGGTTTTGTTACCCCTATGTAAAACCTGTGCTGACTCAATTGTCAGTGGAGTAGAGACACAAGATGCCTCTGGCTCCTCCAGAAACTTTTCTTATTTCTTTCATGTTTCACTGACTTTGAGTAATGAGTGCAGTGCCAAATACATTAAAACCCAAAAGAAACATGCATGTCAGAACTGATGACTGCTTGGGAACAGCTCAGAAAGTACAACTTTCCAACTGGATAAATGTTCACCAGCCACAACCTGAGTATCACATATTCACTATAACTTCCTTTGAACTCAGCAATGTGAAAAAACAACTAAGTACTCACCAAAGGAAAAAAAATGTTTGATTACTATTTTTCTTTCTCAGTCAGGATGTTGATTTCTATCCACCCCCAGCACAAAAAATATCCATCTTAAAATACAATGTATTGCAAAATTTTAGCATTATATCAGAAATACAGTGACCTTTGGATGAGTCATTCAATCAAATCTTCTCAGCAAAGAAAAACAGCAGACCAAGCAACTAAGCATTTAAGACATATTTTGACACTTCTGACAGAATTACTGAATGTTCAGCTTTGAATATTCAAAACATTCAAAAAATAGCCACAGACTGTGGAATGACTGGACACTTATAAAATAAGCAAGCATATGTCTGTGAAGATAAGAACACCAACACTCTAAAAAAGAAGCAGATACTAAAAAAACATCAGTGGAACCTGCTAAATAGCCATTAACAGTTGCATTCTTAAGAATCACAGGAACTACCAGGCTGGATCAAACAGGGATTTGCACTGAATCCAAGCAACATTCCCAAGATATATCCAAGAGCATGATAAGCCATGAGGACTCCTGAGTCCTATTAGCTACAATTGCTCTCTAAACATCTGAAAAATAAAACTTCATAGTGCTTCTAAAAAAATTTTAAACAACTATAGCCACTTCAGACAGCTTCAAATTCTGTATCTTGCTAAATTCACGGCTTCAACAACACCATGCTTGAACACATTACCACATAAGATACAGAGGTGTGAAATGTTCTTTTCTCTTTATAATGTCATTTTTCACAAATTCTTCTCTGTTCTCTGAAGTGAGAGCAATTTTTCTACGCCCCTTTTAAGTTCTTCCTGTATTTCTAAATAGTTTTGCCTCTTAAGATGACTTTTTAATGTTGCAAGGTGTTTTGTCTAAGATAGGATCATAAATTATGGGAGGATTTTCACTTCTGACAGTAAAAAAAAAACCAACCAACCAACCAAAAAAAAAAACAAAAAAAAAACAAAAACCAGGAAAAAAATCCTCCCAAGAATAATTTAAAAAACAGGGAAAAAAAAAATCAAAAAATAAACCACATGTCCCTTAACCTGTGTCATAGATAGCTATTGATTTGGTTCTCTTGGGAGCCAATAGCCCAAGTGCTGTGACAGAAATACACACCCTTACAGACATTACAAAAACTTCACTGGAATGATCCCACAAGAGCAGAACCATATTGTGGGTGCAGCCCCCAAGGGGCACATTAAGCAACAACACTGTACTCACAAGGGAAAACAGCAAAGGCTGTTTTTTGTAGGACTCCTGCCAGGTCAAGGAACACAAGAGTATTAACATGCAGACCATATCCAACAGCCAGTAGTCACAACTAAGTACTGGCTTTTTTTAGGCCCATCCATGGCCAGTTTTCGCTGACGCAAATACTACAGAAAAGAGCAGAATGTCATTTACCACTCTGTGTCCTGAACACTTCAACAACAGCTAAGCTGTCCTTTTGGTATGCAACATTTCTGCAATGTAGGAGTAGCTGAGCTTGCCTATTACTTCCCAGAGTCAATTATCCTTACTCTTTCATAACAAAAGCAGCCAATGCCATCTAGTAGTCAGTGCAGTGAACTTTTTGTTCACATCTGAAAATATCAGGAACGCTTCTACACGACAATTATATTTGCGACATTCTTTTTACCCACTTGTCCTTCACACGAAGGGCTCAGAGTAAAGATGAATGTCAAAAATACCAGACAATTCTGTTACAGAGCAGCATTATAGAGAAACATCATGATCTCTTGCTAAAAATACAGTGAGCAAATAGAGAAAGCGACAGTTAATATAATAAAATTAGGTGAAAAGGGTGTTGCCATGGGCATATGGATATAACAGAAGGAACACAGACAATGTTTCTATCCAACACTGCACTATCTAAACAAATTCAACATGAATGTTAAATCCAAAAGTAAAGTCTCAAAATAAGCAACTATGGAACTGATAATTAAGTCTTTGACCAAAGCACCAATGGGAAAATACCAATAATCAATGCAGAAGAGCAGGAAGAAAAAAAAGAAAAAAAAAGTATCCATTAAAAAAATTAAAATAAAAAATTCAACATAAACAATCATTTGTAATCAGAATTACAGCAGAGACCACAAAGCTGTGCAGTTTTTTTATCTACTGCTCTGTAGCAAAACTGGGTATACTAACAGGACTTCCCAATACCTATGGCAGGCCATGGCTAAAGATATACATGTTATTTTAACTGTGCTGCTCCACATGCAGTGCTTCAGAGAGCACAGCAGTCCATCAATTATCCTGTGTCCAGTGTAGCCCAAAGTACTCCTCCACTCCCTCGACCTGCCACCTCTCCCAGCTCTGTTTCACTTCCCTCCTACAGATAATTCACATTGATGGAGCTTCAGGTAATCAGTATGCAAGAGATCCAGCATCTCAGCTGTACCACATTCTTCCCCGAGTCACAGCTTCCCTTTCCTCTCCCCACAACCTTTCACAAGACCAAGCAGAAACTCCCCCAGACATTATCTGACAGCTCTGCTGATGGACTAAGAAAAGGCAATGTAAGCACCTCCAAAATACCGTAACAATATAAAGCTACATAAAGGGATTACTCCCAGCACACAAAGTGCCAAATTCATTCTCCCAAGTCACTCAGTACTTTGACTCAACTGTGCAGATGAATCTATGCAATTGGTAACTGAAAGAACATTTGGGCTTTGTGTGTACACAAACATTTGAACAAGTATAACAGAGAAGTCATCTCTAATGAGGCTGGTGATCGTTCACACTAGGAACACCCCGACCAAACAGACTTACACTGAATTAAGCAGACCTCAGATGGTATCTGAGAGATACCTCTAGACCTATAGGTATCTGAGAGTTACAAAGGTTAACAAAAATCTTGGTGTCAAACTACACATCAGTTCAAATAGCCTACTTTACAACACATACGCTTATCACAGCATGATTTTTTTTTAATATACTTTTTTTTTAACAAACTGCATGAATGAATACAAACTAATCACATTCCAGTCAAAATCTTTAAAAGTAGTGACTCTAAACTTCAAGAGAATTATCTAAGTATGGCTAAACACAATTTATTACCTTTTTCCCAGTGGTAAAGGATGAATTCTAACCATTAGCACACACGTAAAAAATTCAATTCTAGTTTAGCTAGAACTGATAATTACTGTTACCATTAAAACAGACGAAAAGAAGTCATCTGTATAGTAATAATGAGGCATCTCATTTTCTTCTCATTATTATAAGCTGCAATAAATGCAATGAGCTGTACTGCACATGTCAATCTACAAATTAAACACAAATGTCATAACATAATTTTACAGCTTCCCTTCATAAACAAGTTTTAAAAGTTGAAACGGCTAACTGGTTGTTATTATAACAAAAACCCCCAAACATCTTGTGATAACAAAAAGCAAAATGCAACTCTTACCACTCCCAGTTTTTCAGAGGCATTAGCTTTCCACAGGCGAATATTCATCTCATCTGAGCCACACAGAATGTATTTGTTATCTGAAGTCCATTTTACAGTGATGACGTGCTGCATTCGTTTGGTATGATAAACCTCCCTAGAGCAGAGACACATTTTTAAATTATCTATCATCACTTTTCTCACCATTACCTTTCAAATAGCAGAGAGCATTCTGTTCAAGGCAAAATATTTTTGTAGTTTCTTGCTGTTGTTTTTAAATAAATCTGACCTTTTTAAACACTGCTGATCTTACCTTTCTATAGATAGAGATTCAAAAGAAGTGTGATAGATTGATAAAGGACTACCTAGGATAAGATGCTTTTTAAATAAGTGCTTTCACAGAAATCATAGTAATGAATTATTATTTAACTCTTTTTGCAAATCATGCTAAGGATATACAGTATAAAATGCATAGTGCTCCTGAGGTAATTTTGATTAATATGCTTTTACATTGAGAGTATTACAGAATGGGAATGCCGAAAAATAGGTGCCAAAGAATCTGACACCAAACAGCAATGAAACACCTCCCAGCTGTCCATTTATGATATGGCAATGGATTTGCTACTCTTCATTGTGATTTCCCTCCTTTACCCAAAAATGGACTCCATTTCTTTTTTAGTTTCTGCTGATCAGTCTCCTGCTCAACAAGTGCTGTTGAAAAATGTTTCTGCATGCTGCATTTTAACCAATATTTAAGTTAAACTTTTGTCTACACTTTTGTTAAATTTTTGTCTAATATTTTGAAGTATGTATCAAACAAGTTAATTCTTTTATTTCTGCTATAAAAATAAAGGACTAAATACACTTTTTTTGGGAATTCTAGTTATTTATTAGCATTCTGAAAAGAAGGAAGAAGTAAGGTCTATTTATTGTCGACCAATAGTCATTCCTTTGATGCATCAGTCATGCACTGCAACTTATTCTCTTTCTTCCATTCAGTTATTTTTGCAAGGAAAGCCCAAGTAATAATGCAAAAGAAACACAGAAGCAACACCTATTCAAGTGGTGTGGAAAAACTTGACGAGGTTGAGCTGAAATGGTTGCAAGAAAAGTAATCAATATATCAGAATAAATAAGCTGTAATAAGCTTAATCACCTCTTTTCATTCACCAGCAAGCAATACTCTACAAGAACAACAATGTGGAAGACTGAGCACAACTACCATCAGAAAACATGAATACTCACATCAGCTTTTCACTGTTTAATGGCATGTGTGCACATCTGCACCTTCACAAGAACTTCTATGTTTTACCTGGCTTCTACCACATGACTCAGTAACAAAGCCTTTCTTCACTCACCTTTGGGGAACTAAGTAATTTTGCTTTTCATACTTTGAATTTGCAGCCTTTGCCTATCCTGTGGCTGTCATCACAAGGTATTAAATGTCATTTTTCAGGGACAGGAAAAACTGAAAACATGGCCAAATAACCTGGATCTGTCATTTAGAAGTTCGCACAGAAATACAGTTCTTTTACAGTTTGTTAAGCATTTACTAAATTTAATCAACTTCATAAAAATCTTATTTCTTAGGGCTAAACAATTTCACTATTTGAATTTTCATTTAAAAATAAAATAGAAAGCAACTGCAGTTAGGAGTTTTTCAGACTGGAAGGACATCACAAGTAAAAACTAGAATAGCACCAGGATCCTTATTTACAGATATTCCTAAATGCCCTCTCAGTTTTCCATGCAGGATCAGATCTTCTATTTAGAGACTTTCTCCATTCTGTGAGATTAATATGAACTGTGCAATTCTAAAGAAGCCCAGCTTGTAAAAAATTTTAAGTGTACCAGAACACTCTAATCAGCTTACATGAGGCAAAATTTTTAATTTGTAAAGCTTCTCCTCACTAGATTTATGGCTACAACACAAAAGGGGGAAAAGCATGGACAAAGAAAAGCTCCTTCCACAGGCCTTGGCAACAATGTGCTAAAATGTCAAATAAAGCCTTTACCTGTTTTGCTATGGGGTCTGAAAATTTCTCCTCAGTGATGTGTGTTAACTTTACCTATCACCACTTCTGTGAACATTCTTAATTCATACAAGGAAGCTGCTAACCATATTTTTTAGTAATGCAAGTCAGAAAAAAACCCCCAAACCTACAAAGAAACTGCACCATCTAATTACATTTAAAGTATCATTGCAAGACAAAAAGAACATGAAAACTATCAGTAGATTAGATATAGAGGGAATGTAAATAGCCCCTCCCACTATTTAATGCAGCATAGGAGCACAAACAGTTACACAGTATGCACAATTTCATCAATCAATAATAAAAATATACTCCTTCACCAAACCAGTATTTCAACATTTTCACCCTCAAACCACCTAGAACTTGACTTAGTAACAACCTTCTGGGAGGACAAGGTTGGAGAGAGGAAGTCAAGCAGAAGTAAAATAAAGTTAAGAATAAAGAAAAAGGAGGAAGAACTGACAAGAAAGAATAATGAAGGCAGGTTTATGAAGATCAAATGATACCAGAAAGATCAGATAACTTGCCCAGTTTTCATGAAACTGAAAGAAAACAAAAAAAAATAATGGAGACACAGTAGATTCAATCTGAACTCCAGCAAAATATTTAATTTACTGACTTATGAAACCTTACATGAAAAACAAACTCCACGTGAACTGTATTCAAAGCGCTCTATTACAAATCAAAACCAGGTTAACAAAATATGAACAAAAGGTAGTAAGTGCACTGAAACAGATCACAAAAGGGTCTCAAACTGATCCTCAGGAATTCATACAGCAATCTATTTTACATAATGCCTTCAGCAATCATCCACACAGGATGAAGACAATCCCTAGGAAAGCAAATGCTACAATGCTGTAATACACTGCAAACTTAAGTGGTGACAGAAACAGAACAAAGCAACCTAAAAACATTAAAGATGCATCAACAGGGAAATCAAATGGGACTCACCATGGTAAAATACAAGTGACATGAGCACAGTAATCCACTCTAATTTTAATTCCATATTGTGGAAGTACTGCCACTTGTTAAGTAGTTTACTCTTGATCCATACTCCAGAACTAAGTCAACTACACAGCCTGTCAGTTTCAAACTACCAACAGAATAAGATTTCAACACAATAAGATTTCAACAGGAAGGAAATGCCCCAATGAAGATGTTAATGAATGAATCAGTAATTTTGAGGATTTGGGAGGAAGTCACTGGAATGAAGAGAGAGAAAGGTGTAAAACTACTCACCTGCTGTGACCTTTGTCTACAGGAAAAATGCGGATGGACTTGTCAAAGCTGGCAGACACAAATTCTTTCCCAGTGGGTGAATAATCCACATCAAGGACAGCAGACACGTGATCCATGTGCACCATCACAGGTGATTCAAGAAAGCGCATATCAAAAGTATATAAGCTTTAAAATAAATACATCAGTAGCTTAGTAGCAGAACAAGTCCTAAGTAAACAGTACATTTTACATAAACCACACTTAAGGATAGAACCATATTGCTATGGAAAGTCATTAAAACAGCTCCTAACAGGTGAAAAGAAAGAAAATGGCATTATTTAGGGTTTGAAAGAAGCTTGTTAATCAAAGGATCTAGTTATCAGATCAGGTTTCTTGCTCCCTATCAAAGGACAGATAGGCTCCACCTCATCATCTGTCCATGGGTCAGATTGCAGGCATCACACTGGCCTCCTTTACTCCATCCTCCCATTAAGTATGCACCCTGAACTTGTAAAAGCACCTCTCAATCATTACAGCAAGCCCATCACTTCTGAAAGGTTTCCTAATATTGCCATGCTGTGACCTCCTAGTACTTCACAGTCTGCTGTAAAGTTCCATTTGGTCGGCATCCTTTGTTACTGCCTAATTACCTTAGGCAGACAAGCGCAAGGAAAGCTTGGTGTAGCAAGTCTAGGAGTGCAGGGAAAGCTTGGTCCTCACCCATGGAGATGCTAGTTCAGCAGAGCACACTGTCCACAGAAAAACATGGAAGGCAGGTGTTTTATGCTAAAAGTAAACATCCAGCTGCTGCACCACAGCTGGTTTGCTCCTAAGGACTTGAAAGCTCAGATAAAGCGTACCTCTACTCCCTCAGAATAAAGCAGCAAGGCATAATCAATATGCAGATCATCAAATAAGCATATGTGTTTTACAGGCAATGCATTTATTGGAACCTGATTAAGATATACTATTTAGTAGGACTATGATGATAAAAAATTAATTCAACAGTTTTCTCACCTTCCTTTCTGCAGATGAATGCATAACTGAAATTAAATATATCTTACTGAATACTACAATGGTGATTATTGCTTTTTCCTTCTAAATTCCCCAAGTATGCAGCATCTTATTCAAAACTGCTACTCCACATAACCAGCAAATACTTGCATATGCATTTTTGATGTGTGCATTTGCCTTTGCACACTAAATGCTTCAGGCTGCAAGAGAACAGTTGTCCCTGACAGCAACAGCTATAATTTTTAGTTTAGCAAGAGGAAGAAAAAAAATTGAAAAACCCAAACCAGACAAAAACCAAATCCATAAACAAAAACCTCAAACTTATAAACAAACAGATTAGGTAGTCTAATAGTTTTACCATAACATAAATACAAGAAAAACAGCACATTGAATATAACACCACTTTCAAGGTCTGAGCCAGATTCCATTTCCTTAGAAAAACAGCCTTAAGATAAGTGATAAAATTCCTATGTTCTAGAAGAAAACAGTGATCTATTGTTAGATCACTGACTTCCTGGAAAAAAGGATATGGAGCATATTTGCAATGGCCTAGTTTTGAAGAGACAGCTTTTTCAATATCAGATTAGCTGTTCACATGAATAGTATTGTTCAAAAGTAAAAAACTGCTCCGAGACATTGAAAGGATAAGTACTGCAGTCTCCAGAACCATCTCACAAAAGATTAATTTATTTTTTTTTAAGAAATGTTCTCATGAGAATGGCTGATCAGTACAATGTATCAAGCTTCACAAGAGCTGGCAAGAAAATAAACATTTATATTGCCTCAGACTGGACCAATAGTACTTATTTTCCAGGGCCCATCTCAAGTTATACTTGCATTCAGCTGCATTTATTCTAAGTTACACTGCTTTTTACCCCCCAGGTTCACAGAGATACACAGAGAGAAGCAGTGTACTATCAATTCATATTTCTTGAAATCAGTATTCCTGTAATTCTCTAGGTTATAAAGTAATTCAAATTTAGAGTTTGAGTAGTCTTTTAAAATTTATTTTAGCACAATCATAAATAACCAAGATACAGATGAAAAATATAACTTGTCCAGGATTATCAAAAATCAAGGTTACACTTACTTGTAATCTTCATTGGCTGCAGTAAAATTGAAAGCTTCCATAGGGTTCCAACACAGTGTATTTGTCCTCATGTTCAAGATAACCTGAAATATATTTACACATTGCTACCTTGTTAAAGGCAATAAAATACTCACTGCAGTTCAAAACTTCCTTCCTTGTTCCCTGAAGACAAGGACTTAGTAGATAGATAACTATGGCAGAGAAATAGTACATGACAGAATGTTTCCTCAGCAGTGTGAGAAGTGAAACTCCTGTCCCTCATTACAAGCTTCTGCTTTGGGCTACACAACAATTAAATTTTCCTCTGTAAATCACCTTAGAATCAAATTCTTCTAAGTGGCCATTTAACATGGCAACCAGTTAGTGGTCAACAAGTAAATCTGGAACTTCTAAAAAATTTCAATTCTCTGTCCTATTTACAGGAACCTTTAGTTAAGTAATCTATAGACACACCTAATTAAATGGTTATTTCAAGGGACATAGTCATTAATTGAAGCTGTGAACCAACATTTGCAAAGCAATTGTAACATGTTTATGTTCTCCCAGTAATTACGCCTTCATTATTTTATGTCGAAAATTGCAGTTCACCAATTCTCCTGGCCAGCTGCCATTTTTTGTGGAAGTGCCAAGCAAGGCACACAGAAGTTACTGTGTTGTCAGGTACTCAGCACTCTCCCTGTACCAGCAGTGAATCATATCTCACACATTTGTAAGATTTGCTTGCTGCTTGTAAGCATATGGCCAACAAAGAGGCCAGCTGGCCCTGAAGTGGGAGGAAGGCAGCTGATAACAGATTAATAAAACCCTTCTGCTTTCTAACTGCAGACTAGACAAGAGGCACTAGCAAGCTGTATGTTGGATGTCCCCACCTTGGAGGACAGCTGGGCCCCTGTGGGACAAGGCAAGGCAGGGACAAATCTGACACATCAGACACTGCAGTTTTGGCTTCTGCCGAGTCTGAGAGGAATTTCCAACCATTTATTTGAAAATAAGAGCTATACAGTATGCCTGACACAAAGTGGATGTGTAATTACAGAGCAACTGATTAACAAACTGAACAACTCTATAAACAGGATTTTCTACAATGCTCCAGGCCAGCTATAATCCTACTTAATAATCCTGAAATTTGTTGAACGGTATGGTACTCAAATCTCATTTTTATTCTTGGCTTACTACACTTAACACCATAAATTTACACACCTATTTCAGAATATAGTTGTACAATTATAACCCTTACGGTAATGAACACAGTCTCAAAACAAGTTAAGTGATGATTTTACTGAACATCCCTCCAAAAGATTGCAATGAATGTGTGTCTATTCCTGTAATTCTCATTCTCCCTAAATCCTCATTCCCTAGGTGACACCACCCTGTTCATTACAAAGTTTGTGCTGCAGAACACTGCTTAATTTCAGGAACTGCATGCAACCAGAAGGGAATGTAACCATCAGATCTCTAAAGTGATCTCTAGTTAAAAAGCAGACACTGAGATGTCCTCTGTTTACACTAATGTGACTACTAGAATTTGCTCAGATTTCAGTATTCTTCTAGTTATAAAACTTGCACAAAACTGGGAATAATCAAGGACTGTTCTTTATTCCTTCCTGGTACAAGTTCACCGGCTACTGCAAAATGAGCATACAATTAATGTTAGCCCACCATACCTATAAGTACTTCAGGTCCTTTTACAAAATAACTTCAATATTACTAAAATCCAGCTCTTTCAAACGCAGTAAAGTCCTGTCATGCTCTGAATCTCTATTTTACACCAAAATTTACAAGCCTTCAGTTGATTTCAGCAGTGGCTTTTGGAAGTAAAATAGTGCCTAAGAAATGAGATTGACTCTACAGTTCTAGCATTAGGTTTAGTAACAAGTATGTAAGGCAACCTGGCTGGAAGTGATTTAAGTTGCTGTAAATACATTAATAATGGCATTTCAGAACTATCTAAACCCATGCCAGAGCCATTTTTAACTGCTATTTTTAATCTATTGTACATCTTCTTAGAAAATGGGTAAGTTTAAGTCCCCATTAAGACAAGTCAAAATTGTGAAGTACCTGAAGACTTGGTTGTCTGGGTTTAATTATTTTAACTGTGAACAGTTGCTTACAAAGAATGTCAGTCTGGAAATGCTGACATTATTTTAATACAGAAACATTACCCAAATAATTAACCTGTCTTCCTTTACTATCAGCAAGGTTTTTGGTTGAGATGAACACCTAAGAATGTAACAAGCAAGAGAAAACACAGCTCCTGTCAGCTGCTAAAATGCTAAAGTCTATCTTTACAACCCCCTAAGCTTTCCTGATCCCACAGGTTGCACAAGAATGACTTTTAAAGTGTACCAATTCCTATCAAAACATTTTCCTCTTGTGTCTCAAGAGAACTGCTTTTATTCATCTTTCTCAGCTTTTTTTAGACTAGCTCTTCTTTTGAGCGTAGGCAGCATCTCACTATCTCATCCCTCCCTTTTAAACTAAAGGCTTTGAAACCCACACTCAGGACAAATGGGCAACAGAGGTACACAATGTGAGAATTGTGTGAATAGGAATGCATGTGTGATGTACTCCTATTTCCATTCGTGAAGGGACTGCCACTGAGTTCCAACTGCTCTGCTGATCAAATCCCAGGAATGCAGCAGCGCCAGAAATCAGTGCCCATACATAAGTATGGTAACATTAATAAGCAAAACCAATCTCTTAGGAGTTCCAAAGCTCTTAGCTCTCAATGCAGAAATGGACATTTCACCTCCTTTCCACAGGAGAATTATCCCTATCCCAGGAGGAAACGCAGTACTGTGCCCATGGAAGCAAGGAAGTCCTAACCTAACCTAAGTGCGTAATTCCTCCAGCAGGAAATGCATCTCAGCATGCTGCTTACATGAGATACACATACACAAACATCTGCACACAGTCTACAGAAATTCTATATGCACACGTATGTACAGTGTAAGCTAAATATATATATTTAGCATATATACATACGTAAAATTCTCATAGATTCAAACTTAGTTCACAAAGGACTCAACTGCATCCTTTGCTGTAGCTCAACAGCACTGGCTGGGCTCATTTCAACATTCAGGTCTTCAGCTGGCATCACTGACAAGTTTTTATAAGCACTGCCTCAGTGGCCCAAATGAAACTTCACTAAAAATTATTGGGGCACAGGGAGAGAAAGAAACACTGCTATGCCAACAACTTTCTTTTTTTATAACTAAGTACCATTTTAATGTTGTAGTGTGTATCAGCTCAATGACACTGCAGACAGCATGTAACACTGAGTGCATACTCACAAGCCAGAATATTGCATTTCAAGAAGAATATTGTTAAATAGATCTGGGGCTTAGAACTACTGAACTTGATTGAGGGTTGATAGGTGTGTATGAATTACCAGCCTCTTATCTAAATAAATACAAATATTTTGTTAAATAGGAATCTTTAGGTCATCGGTATGTTCCACATATAAATATTATTTTGATTACACTGCAAAGGATTTCTGAATGTTTATGGTGGGTGTATAGGGAAGGGTTTATTTCCCTTTGAAGGAAAAAAACCTTTTTAAATACAGAGCAAGGCTCTCCAATGGTGAAGTTAGCTTGTTTCCTTCTGGTAAGGAAGAGGAAAAAAAAAATCACACATACATAGACAGAAGGCAATACAGGAACATAAAGTTCTTAATGTTAAATTGCTGTCAGGTCAGGCACTTGATCAAGAATTACAACAGAGTGAGCATGACAGCCTGTCTGAATGCAGAAAAAGGCCCTTCTAACTCTGCATTGTTTAAATCTCAACGTTAATTCAAACTCAGAAGACACAGACAATGAAAACTCAGTTAACTCAGGTTTCAGAGCTTCCCATTCTCTACTGTCACCAACAGTTACATGCTATTAATACATTCAGTATGATTATTAGCACCAGTAACTAATCTTAAAAAGAAAAATATTACCTTCTTTAATGGAGTTGATTTTCTCATATCATACAGCACAATATTTCTGTCAGAAGCACAGCTTCCCAAAAGGTAAGTCTGAAAAAAAAAAGCCCAAAACCAGTGTGTATGGTCTTTTGAATACTTCAAGAGTGGGTTAACAGCTTACATCAAATACCTAAGCTATTTCACAAAGCTGGTCATGAGTTTGTTTCTTTTTCAGTCAAGGAAATATCTTCATCAATTTTTCTGTGCAGCTAATTACCCAGCACAAACATTTTAAATAGCTTTCCCTGTAAGATCCAGAATCCATGCAATGCCCTCTGCTTTAAAACTAACAGACAATTCCTCATAAACACTTTTTCTATGAGCACAGCCCAGCCAAGGGGTATAACAGAAGTGCTGTAAAAGATCAAATGCAATTGTTTTGCCATGGGAAGGGTGAGAAGTCACAGGGAGTAGAATAGTGGAACAGATGAACTGGCAGCTCCACAGCCACTTAACTGCTACACTGCATGACTGAGGTACCAGATATGCTGCTGTTGTGGGCAGAATGGAGACTGCTCTGCTTTCGTTTCTCCTCTCCCACACTAGGAGAGATGAAAGATAGGAAGATAAAATTGTATGGTACTACATTCCAAAATAATATAACCATCAAAATCTATATATGCATCTCCTTACATATTCCATTAAAACATAAAATCTAAATTTGGAAGAAAAAAAATCAAGATGGTGTAAACAGAGTTTACTTTTCATATTGTTCAAAAAAAGACTAATTTCCAATATATTACACAATCATTACCTCAATGGGATTAAATTTTACACTGCTTATGCTATCAAAACCCCAAGTCAGAGAACACTTGGGGCTTGTCCTTTGTTCATCCCAAATGTCCACTTGATGGCCACAGGTAGCAAAAACAGGCTCCTTCCAGTGGTGATCAATTCCTGTATACACTGTCTTTAAGGGAAAATAACAAAAAACAAAGCAAAAATTTTAAAACTCAATTGTATGTACAAATATTCGACTATGTTCTGTTAGGAAAAAAAAAATCAACAAATCTTTGCATGTGGAGTCTCACATGGTTTTTCTCATTTATATTACTGAAAATTAAGTCACCATTGGTACTAGAAACTAAACCTTATCAGATGTACCCCTTCCAGTAGGCAAGCTTTCTTTTCCATTTAAGGTGCATGTATGTATCTTTTGGTAATTTACAGTGGAGTTGGTACTAAAGGCATATTTACAAAATCCTGGCTGGTTTTAAACCAAATGAAAAATTTAAGAGTGCAACTGTATTTTCAGTAGGGACTTGAGTGGATTTCACAGACATTTCATTAACTAAAGACTTTCAAACCAATTTGAAAAAAGCATTTAATGTTTTTCTTAACACAAGCTTATCATAAATTCAAAGTGCCAAAATATCTATTTTTAGACTGCTTTTGTCAATAAGGAAGATGTAAAGTTAGTATTTTGTATTGAATGGCTGTGAGATTGGTATGAAAAGTAACTTATTTGGTATGAAAAGTAATGCAGACTAAGCACTGACAATACCCATCTGAAAAGACTACAGAGAAATGTGACCAGTTTGCAGGAAAGGGATAATTAGCACAGACAGACATAAGCAGTCTCTGGTGGCATCAGAGGAGTCCTTTCTGGTTACATGTAAAGTAAGCACAATAAAAACATGAAGATACTTTAAAAATGCCATAATAAAATTTGATGCCAGCAAATTACAACCCATTATGATGATAGGTGATATCAAATTATTGCTCTCTCCTTCAAAAGCTAGATAAGATATGATTCAAACTAAATTCAAAAGAAGAGGTCTGGGAAAATCAAAACTCAGATTTACTACCTTTCCAAGAATTGTATGAATAGGTTCTTCTTCTTCTCCATATTCTGGGCTCTCCATTTTCCACTGTTTTATGGTTTTGTCATCACCAACCTGAAAATATTGGAAAAGTTTTATGTAAATATATTCCCTTTTATTTTGCTAGATGTGTTTTGCAATTAAATATAGGCATCCTTTCAGAAAAATATTCTGTGATATACACAAATGCTTCCTCCTGCCTGTTCATTGTTCCATTTTATACCTCCAAGCAACAGATTAGCTCTCCTGGTCATAACAGGTCATTAAAACATGTCCATGGTCTGGCTGCAGTGAACATTCTTCACAGCAGCCCACATGGCACCGTGGTTTTGATGAAAAAAACATCAGGGCTGAAAAACATATTTGGGCTGAAACGGGCCTGACACAGCCCCCAAGCCCTGGCTGTGAATTTCCCCCTGCTCCACTCTGTCTCCACCACCCCTGCCTCACCCACCAGCCACAGGCTTGAGTGGGCAGCACACTGGGAGGGGACACGGGCATGACAGATGTCCTGACCCGGCCAAAGGAGTATTCCATAGCCCAGAACAACGCTCTGCAATAAAAGCTGCCGTACTGGGAGCAGGAAGAGGAGGTGGGGGCTGGCTCCACAGTGGCTGCAGCTCAGACACTGTCTGGGGATCTGTCGGCTTCTGAGAGCAGGCGATGATTCCCAGCTTGTTACTTGTTTCCCACCACCACCTTTCCTTCACCTATTCCACTGTCCCATCTTGATCCACAAGGCTTTTCCAGTTTCCACTATAGATAGCTGAATAGGAAAAAGGTGAGCTGGAATGATGGCTATTTTGTAAGGCCGAATTTCGTGGTTTTTCATCACCCTAAACTGCAAATTATCTTCTGGAAGTCACTTTGGTGAGCCTGTAATCAGTTAAAAGGCACTTTCCACCTCAGTTGCTCTGGTTGCCTGCCCCAAATTTTGTTCTACCTCTTGCACTAATGCCAGCACAAGCTTTTGCAGGGCTGTGCAGTGACCTGGATCAAGAAAATAGGCCTAAAAAATGTTAGCTTTACAAGTTTATCCTCCCCTCCATGACTGCACTACTACTATTTCTCTCCCTCTCTCAATTTTCAGGCAGACATTGTCAAAAGGAGAGTAACTAACTTGGAGTCACTTGGGATTTTTTACTGTGACTTTCCCTATATCCTAACTACTGTCCCTGTGACCTAGTCCATACCTTAGAAAAAATAAATATACTGCAGTGAAAATGGCTCTTCTATGACCAGTTTAAACAAAGCACAACTTCAGGACACTTCCTGTTTTCAAAAACAGTTCTTGTTGTGTTATCTCAGAACTGGTTTAATGCCAACAGGAAGACACAGTATTTCCAAGCAGTTTACATGCAACTGAATCTGTTGTGTATGAATTAATAAAGCTTTATTCACCTGGAATGGTCTTAATTTAATCAGATTACTTTTAATCACAGTATATGCAAATGGTTACTTTTTTACATGGTATATGTGTATGCAAATGGTTACTTTTTAACTTTTTTACATCTTATAATAAGATGCAATAAACAAAATCCATTTACTACTTTAAAAAAAAACTAGTTTACTGGAGTTTTAATTACATGATCATCTGTTAGCTCTTTGCTGGTATTTATCCCTTCCATGCTCTTAAACGATATCCATATCCCAGCATCAGAAAAAACTTCATCCTAAATAGAACTGTCGGGTTCACCAACACATTTAATAAGTGTATTCATACAATATTTAAATGTTGTATGGCAGAGAGCAAGCTTCTCAGTGGAAAACAGATGGTGAGCAGGTACTGTGTGCTGCTGCACTGCTGAGGAGCCCCATAATACTCACAGTGAAGAACGATGTGCCACAGAAACGGGCACACATGCCTCTAACAAAGCCTTCGTGGGCTTGTATCGTGCGGATACACTGTCGTTTGGTCAAGTTCCAAATCTTAACCTGACAAAAACAAAAAGCAAATATTCTGTAAGCTTTCCACAGCTGCAGTTCAGTATTCAAATACAAGAGACCACACAAGTTGTAATGAAATGGCAGAGCTGGCTTGGACACCGGTCAGATTTTACCATGTTAAAAACTAATTACTTCTTTCTTGAAAAATAATTTTAAAAGTGAGGCTCTTTTGTTTCTACCTCCCCCCTGACTTAAGCTGTATACTTTCTGCATTTTGTACTCCCATGTTTTTGAACTAGAATTCTTGCTAAAAAACAGCAGCAGTTAAAAACTTAGCAAAAAAATACCCTTTTAAAGACAAAAACACAAAGACATTTGGAACCAACAGGATTTTTTCTGTTCAGCTGCTGTACTACATTGTCTATAGATGTCCACCTCTCACAGAGGTTTCTGTTTAAAAGCTTTTGGGCTCATTTAAAACCAACAACAAAGAAATGGAGCTTGCTTTTTACATTTTTATGTATTTACAGCACCCAGTACTTTACTTGCTCTATCAGTGGATAAGAAATTTGCAGAAATGTGTTCCCCTTCTCTCTGAAAAGGTTAACCCCCCCCTTATAATACTGCATGACATGAGCACTTTCTATAAAAGCAACCAACTGCCTAGAAGACCTTTAAACTGCCCTTGATACCTTTAAAGTATTCAAGTACTATCAAATGAGCCATGTAAGGGTGAGAAAAGACAGGTAATTATTCCTGCCACTAGTTCCACTAGTCCTCGATTGCTATTTAAAATAGTTATGTAAAACAATAAAATATATATATACATAGGGTTAGCCTTTTTTAGGCAATATGAAATCCTGCTATTCCAAAAAAATTTTTGGTTGTATGCCCCTTCACCCTAGCTAATCTGGCAGTTGAACTTCTTTAGGGGGAGCAGTCCTAACATGTATTGGGTTTGCGTGGCCAGGTTTTGGTAGTGGGAGTCTACAGGGGTGGTTTCTGTGAAAAGCTGCTGGAATCTTCCTCCATGTCCAGCAGAGCTAGTGCCAGCCAGCTCCCACACAGACCCACCCCTGGCCAAGGCCAAGCTAATAAGAAATGGTGGCAACAACTCTGTGGTAACACATTTAAAAAGGAATAAAAGTAACTGCACTCAGAGAAGAGAGGAGCGACAATACAGGAGAGGAATAACTGCAGACACCAAGGTGAAGGAAGAAGGAGGAGGAAGAACTGAGGTTCCTGAGCCTGCTGTGAAGACCATGGTGAGGCAGCAGTGCCCCTGGTGCCCATGGAGGAGGTTCATTGGAGTGCAGAGATCCACCTGCACCTGTGGAGAAGACCGAGGCCAGACACACCCAAAGCAGGCTGTGATCCACAACAAGCCCAAGCTGGAGCAGGCTCCTGGCAGGGACCTCAGGACCCATGGACAGAGGAGCCCACACTGGAGCAGGTTTCCCAGGACTTGTGACCCTGTGGGGACCCACCCCAGAGCAGCCTCCTCTTGAAGGACTACACAATGTGGAACAGTCACCCACACAGCAGCTACTCATGAAAAGCTGCAGCCTGTGGAAAGGACTCACACTGCAGAAGGACATGGAGAACTGTCTCCCATGGGAGGGACCCATGGTGGAGCAGCAGAGCACCTCCTCTCCCTGAGTAGAGGCAGGAAAAACTTGTATTGAGCTGACTGCAACCCCCTTCCCCCATTTCCTTGTACTGATGGGGAGGAGAAGGGAGAGCCTGGGAAGGAAGGAGGGAGGGGTGGGGGGAAGGTAATTTTAAGGTCTTATTTTACTTCTCATTATTATGTTCTGAGTTTGTTAATAATAAATTCAATTATTAACCGCAAGTTCAGTCTGTTTTGTCCCTGGTGGTAATAGGTGGGTGATCTCTCCCTGTCCTTATCTCGACCCATGAACCTTTCACTAAAATCTGTCTCCCAAGTTTGTCACCCCTGTACAGTGGCAGAGTTACAGAGCAGTAAAACTGTGTGAGGATAGAGGTAACATGCTGAAGAGAGGCAGAAAAGTAAAGTGAGGCAAAACCAACCAAACAAGCCAACAGAACACAAAAGAGAAAAAAGACACGTGTTTGCTGTGGTTTGCAAGCTTACCTCTCCATCACAGGCTCCAGACAGCACAGTAGACAAACTTTTTGGATGTTTGGCCATGCAATTAACGCCATCTCTGTGGCCATCAAGTGAACTAAGAAAGGGTTTTGCAAACACACGTTCCAGCTTTGTGGCATTCAGAGCTCTTGTGTACTCTCGTGCAACCTCAAATGGATGCAATGCAGGGTCATAGTTCCTTGGAACTGCAACAGAAAGAACGCACATTAGAAACCCATGCTGGAGCAGGTAAAGAGGAGAGAAGAGCAGAGGGATGAGCAGATGGACTGGACTACCTCTCCCATGAGGAAGGGCTGGAAGAGCTGGGGTTGTTCAGCCTGGAGAAGAGATGGCTCAGGGCAGACCCCACTGTGGCCTCTCAGTACTTAAAGGGGGCTATGAGAAAGATGGCGACAGACCTTTTAGATGGTCTGTTATGATATGATAATGAGTAACAGTTATAAGTTTAAAGAGGATAAATTTAGACTAGATAGTAGTAAAAAGTTTTTTACAATGAAATGGACATGGCCCATCAACGTTCTGAGCAGTCTGATCTAGCTGAAGATGTCCCTGTTCTGCACAGGGACGGGTGTGGGACTGTTCACCACAGGGACTTATCTAGTCCAACCTTCCAGCCTACGAAACTCTATTATTCTGTGTGTAAAATCAACACAATTTTTGGCAGTTTTAATAATGAATGTGCAAAAAGCGGAACTCGATGCACTAGGAATGAAACAGCATTAAGTGCAAAAAACTGCAAAGGGTAACCTAGGAAATACCAAGAACAATCTCGGGGTACCAAGTCAGCGATTAAACCCCCAGCCTCGCCCTCCTGCTCTGACCAGGCTCTGGAATCCCCAGGCTCTGGCGCGCCGATGGGAGCTCCTGGCAGCCGCCGCCCCGGGCCGCAGCACGGCAAAGCAAGTTCAGCTCCGCAGAGGCCCCGCACGGGAATCCCCGCCTGGGAGCGGCACCCGCAGGCAGAGCTCCCGGTGCCCGCAAAGAGGGAAGCGCAAAGGCCCTGCCCGAGCTCTCCGACTCTCGCTGCCAGCGGGCAGCGGCGGAGGGGACGGGACCGGAGCGGAGCGCGGACGACGGGCGCTCGAACGCCTTCCTGGGCCGCCGACCTCACCCCTTCCGGGCGGGCCATGCCGGGCCGCGCCGAGGGCCGGAGCCGGAGCCGCACTCACCGCGCTGCAGGTCCAGCTTGGTCTCCCTCACGTAGTCATCGGGGTTGCGGCTCAGCACCTTCACCCGCATCGCGCCGCTCCGGCACCGCGCGCCCACGTGACCGGATGCGCCGCGCGGGCCGTTCTCGCGCGAGGCCGCGAGCCCCGCCGCGGTCCCGGCCCCGCCCCCGCCCCTGCGCGCGCGCGGCCGGCGATGGGTGCCGCGGGCCCCGCGTGCACGGCGCGCGAGCCGCCGCTGTCACGCGAGCCGGCGCTGCGCTCCGTGCTGCGGCACGTGCGGCTGGAGAACCTGGCGGCGGGAATGAGCGGCGGCGTCCTGTCCACCCTGGCGCTGCACCCGCTGGACCTCGTCAAGATCCGCTTCGCAGGTGAGGCCGGAGCGGCCGCCGTCCCGCGCTAGGGACGCACCGGCATGCCCGAGCTCGCTGAGCCCGGCCCGGGACCTGCCGGGCTTCCCGCCCACAGCCCGCGCTGCTCCGCCCGCCCCGTGCGCGGCTGCAGCGCCCCGGTGCCGGGGGCAGCCCCACGGCTTGGAATAAACCGGCCGTGAGCCGAGAGGGTGTCCCGTTCTCTGCCCCCAAGGAGCTATCCCGAGGTGCTCCTTGTCCCGTGTGGGGGCTGCCGCCTCTGCGGTGCCCCGAGCTGTCTGCGGGCACGTCGGGGAGCTCCAGCCTCGCCCCCTCCCGTGGCCGCCAGTGCCTGAGGCACCCGAGCGCTGCCCGCTTGAGCCGGCGGGCTGCCCGAGCCCACGTTCAAAGTTCACCTCTATGCCAAACATTTTCAACACTCAGAGCTAGCGGTGGTTCTGCAATAACCTTGGCTGTTAACAATAGTGGTATTGTTTTGCAGAAAACTCTGTAACTGGTTTGTTTCTCCACAGGGAAACATGGCAACTTCTCTTGACTTTTCTGCTGATTTGAGAAACTTGTCAACCATTATCATATTTTCTTTCAGAGAGGTAGAAACATTTTACCGTATCTTTGGATTGTTTTCTGAAATAGATACATGGATGTTTTAAGATCTGAAAACCAAACTATCACAGAGACATTTTCCAAAATTCAAAACGTTGCATGTCCTATTTGGGCACATCCTGGGCTGCATCATGAGAAGCACAGCCAGCAGAAGGGCTCTCTTCTCTCTGTTTTCCATTTGTAATACTATGTCAGAAGTACTGTGTTTATTTTGGGGCTCTCCAGGACAGGGAAGGAAGACACTCTGGTGTGACTGCAGTGGAAGCCACCACACAGTGAAGAGGCTGGAGCACATGACACAGAACAGGAACCCTTTGGCCTCAGAAAGGAAGGGCTGAGGGGAGCTAAAATTGCAATTTATGACAGTGTTCTTGGAAGACACAGAGAAGGGAAAGGCAGATTCTTGGAGATAGTTAGAAGGAGCCAAAAAGGAACAGGCACAAGCATGGATCATTCCAGTTATTTTACTGTGAGAATGGTCAAACACTGGAAAAGGTTGCCCAGACAGGCTGTAATCTCTTCAGCCATGGAAACATTCAGGAGTCAACTGGTCGTGTCCCTAAGTAACCAGGTCTAATTAGATCTGGTTTAAATACAGGTTTGGATTAGATGGCTTTTGGAGGTCATGTACTTTCACATGCTTCTTTGGGTTGAAAATAATAATTCCTGTGTTTTGTCTTCAGTGAGGGAGCAGGAGCTGATATCAGAAATGAATTTTGTCAAGATTCTTGACAGCATCATTGACAGAAAGACTTGCATTCATGTCTCTGATTTGCAATCTTGTTTCATATGTTTATAAACTTGTCCTAGTGTCTGCATGGTAAAAATTTCACAAATGTCTTTGGGAAAGGTCTAGCAGCACTTAGGAAGGAGAAAAGAGGTGTTTGTGTTCTAGCTTTGAATGGTTGTCAAGGTGTTGAGGTGTTGTCACACTGTGCTCAGCAAAAGCATTTTGTCCTTAATGCTGAAGTCTGTCACAATGTCTATGGGACAAAGAGTTCAAAAGAAATTAGTAATAATGTGGCACTGAACAGAAGATGCCTGTTTACCAGGATTAATTTTGGTGGGACCACAAAAACTACACTTCTTGTAAAACTTTGAGATCAGTTTTCAGTACAGTTGCAGTCTAGCCATCTGTCTGTAGTAAGAATGAAAGCTGCTGCTATGTTGGCATCACAGCGTAATTTAGGTCAGAAGAGAGCTGAGGAGTTCACCCCCTACCCAGATAAGCACTGCTTAGATCAGTTTGTTCAGTCTTGTGCACTGGAGTTTTGAGTAGCTCCAAAGATGCTCTTCAGGCAACTTTTTCAAGTATTTGGCCATTCTGCTGGATAAAAAGTTCTGGTCAAAATTCCCTGTATTTCAGCTTGTGTCTGTTACCTCTTGTCATCTCACCATGGACTGCATCACATAACCTCATCAGTAATCAACTTACTCCTTTGTTATTATGGTAGGAGCAATGGTAGTCACCACTCCAAGTTTTGTAGCCATCCATGTTCTACATGATCTGTCAGACAAAAACGTGTTGTTTTCTGTATTTTTGAAGTGGTATTTTCTGAACATTTGGACAACCAGCTGTTAGGTTATTAGGTGGGAGAAGAAGCCTTTGTGTATTCTGGTAAAAACTGACTTGGGAATCAGTAAGATGTAACCCATTGCTTTATAGAACGTTTTAAGGAGAAAATTTGAATTTAAGGGTTGTTACTTAGGACTTGTCTAAACAACTTAGAGAAACATGTCAAGGATGCCGTCCATATCACTTGAAATATGATGCACAATTGCTGGAGTACTAAAAAGCAGAGACAGAAAACTTCAGATCTGCTGCTCATCAAAAATGTACAAAAGTGCATTTACTTAGCCTTGTCAGATTAATAGGAACTTTCCTCTTACTGAGCTAAGTAGTTATCTCTGGTTTTTATTTCTTTTTCCCCCCTTTTTTCCCTAAGTTCTTCAACTCTAGGCTTATAAAGCTGTAAACCTCAGCTCTTGCATACTTGTGAAATAACACTCATGTAATACAGTTGATCAATTATGTTTCACGTTCATTTATTGCTTTGGAGGCTGTGGACTCCTGGGTTGGCTTGGAGGCAGTTGAACTTTATGCTTCCCGAAATGTTTTGCATTTCTCTCTTTTGTAGTAAGTGATGGATTGGAGCTGAGGCCAAAGTACAATGGAATTCTTCACTGTATGAGCACAGTCTGGAAGCATGAGGGGCTTCGAGGCTTGTACCAAGGGGTGACTCCAAACATGGTGGGAGCAGGAGCCTCCTGGGGACTTTACTTCTTCTTGTAAGTACAACTGTAAAATGTGTCACTGCCTGCACAATGCAGTGTTCAGATATACATTGCATCTTCTTTGTGAGGTATAAAAATGTGCTAAGGGACTTACAAACTTGTCATTCTCTTAGCTAGTCCAGGTTTGTTAACGTTTATTATGGTTTGCTGTTTTAGAATTTAAGCAACTTGAGTCAGAGAGTTGTTCCTTTGTCAGGTACAGTGCATTCCCTTGCTGCTGTGAAAGTACTAAGAAATTTGAGAGGTGGTGATACTATTCAGAAAGAATTCTCTAAAAGTGCCAATACACTGTTCTTAAAACCCTATGAAAAACAAGAATCTAAATTGATTTCTTGAGAATAAAGAGTGTGAAGTTTTCTACTAAAACTAAATGTTTGATTGTTTTATCATTTTAGTGACAGTTTTTTCATTGGTTTTGTCAGTTCATAGGCTTTGCTTTTAAAGCCCATTTTTTAATATTCTACTTTATTAACTCTGTTAGTACTTATCCCTATTAATTCAAACATTTTAGGGACTAGTTAGCTGCCATGCCTATGCAAAGCTCACTTGTCAGTTGTCTAGACTCTATTATTGTTGTACTTGAGTCCTTAAGCTTTGCTGTAGATTGCTATTGACACTTTTCTTCTGTTGACAATTCCTTAATTCACAAAGATTGCAAACTGGATCAAGAGAAGAATGCTCAGTGTATTTCTGAGCTAGAGGGTCAATACCTAGCACTGTGGGTCCCACTAAAATTCTTTTACAAGTTAATTCTGGATATCTCATCATTTTCAAGATACAGTCCCATTGATACTGACAGTTTAATTTTACAATTTAAATATATATTACCATAGTTCACTTTAAAGAGCTGACTGCTCAGAGACAATGAATCAATTAAATAACAGTAGTTTGGATGCCTTTTCTTCAAAGGCTGTGTACCACCATGATCTTAAGTCAGGTATGTCATTCTGGATTGGGTTTTTTGTGATGTGGGTCTGTGTTCACCTTCACTAAACTATGTTGTACATTTTCCAGTTACAATGCCATCAAAGCTTACAAGAAGGAAGGGAAGATGGAAAGTCTCAGTGCGAGCGAACACCTAGTGTCAGCTGCGGAGGCTGGTGAGGTTAAATGCAAAAATTAATGTTCACTTGTAGCTGTTCCATATGCTGCTACTTGCCTTTCTGTGTCAGTGCAGCTTTTTCTTACAGATGGCAAGGGTAAGTGTTCCAGCCCAGATGCAATAGTTTGTTGTCTGTAAATAAAACAAAGATGTCTAGCACAAATAGGTGGGTCACTGTGGTCCTCCAGTTTTGTGCAGAATTAGCAGTTGACAAAATGTCTTTTGTCCTAGTTTTCATTCTGTGTAGGCACTTTACATATTTAGTACTGTATTGGGTCCCAAAATGTAACTATGGAAATCTGCTGCTATCAGATTGTTAACTTGTTAAATATTTAACACCTGGACCTGGAAAGGAGGTGGCCTGTTGAATCATGGAATGGTTTGGGCTGGAATGGACCTTAAAAATAATCTAGTTCCAGCCCCCTGTCTTTGGCTGGGACACCTCCCACTAGACTAGGTTGCTCAAAGCCCCATCCAGCCTGGTCTTGAACACTTCCAGAGGTGGAGCATCCACAGCATCTCTGGGCAGCCTATTGCAGTGCCTCACCACTGTCACTGTAAAGAATTTTTGCCTCACATCTAATATAAACCTACTCTCTTTCAGTTTGAATCATTCCCCCTTGTCCTGTCACTACATGCTGTACAGGCAATTTGGAAAACTTCATTAGGATTTTGAAGCATTCATTTAACGTTGAAATATAAGGCATATTGTTTGAATGAAATGTCATAATGGATTCTGTGTCACAATGGTATTTTTA